CTCACCAGTACCTGAGGGAGCAGACGCACCTAGAGCAGCAGCCTCGCTAGCACCTAGAGCAGCAGCCTCACCAGTACCTAGAGCAGCAGTCTCAATGCCCGGGTCGGGCGGAAAACACCGGTAACAGTCACCCTCATCACTAATAGTCACAGTATACATGGCAGCAAGAATAGCATCAAAGTCAAGGTCAAAGACAGCTACACCCGCCCTAGACAGCTCACCCCAGCGGGGGATCTCAGTGGCCTCAGGGAACTGGTGACGCCAAGCGTCCGTCAGGCGGCCAAAGCAGCGCTGGGTGGAGTGCGCACCCCCGCACTGCTCACCCGCGCGGTCGCCGGTGCGCAGGACGTAGGTGCACGGACCAGTACCCCCACCCCTCTGGCGTGCAGTGTACCACTCACGGAGCTGCTGAGGGGAGGGGACGTCACGAGTGCGCTGCTGCTGCTGCTGCTGCTGCTGCTGCTGGCGCTGACCACCACCGGAGCCGACCCTCTGCGCAGCGCCACCCCGACCAGCTCCACCTCCTCCGCCGCCTCCTCCTCCACCGCCGCCACCTCCGCTCCCTCCGCCACCGCCGCTGCCGCCTGCGCCTCCACTGCCGCCACCTACACCTCCACCCCCGCCACCACCCCCACCGCCACCCCCACCTCCTCCACCGCCTCCACCGCCGCCTCCACCGCCCCCGCTAGCTCCTCCAGCGCCCCTGCCCCCCTTGCCCTTGCCAGGGCGGCGTCTCCCGCTAGGGGTAGACGCTGCCCCAACCGACTCCAAACCAGCGAGGTCGGCCGCAACAACAGAGGCAACAGAGGGCAAAAGAGGGGAGGGGGAACACCCCTCAAAGATGGGGGTGCGAGGGTCACCACGAGAGGCTCCTACAGCGACTATGCTCTTTTCTGCTGCTAGGAGGGCCTTCTCGAGGAGGTCAACGGTGAGAGTGGTGGGGCAAACCGAGAGGAAGTGGTCCTTGACTACGCGAAGGGAGTCAGGGAGACGGGTGACTATGTAGTAGAGGGTGATGTACATGGGGGGGGGGTTTCTTGGCGCAGAACTCAGCAGGAAGCGCAGCGCGGTAGCGAGTGTCACTAGTGCGGAGGTGCGTAATGAGGTCAGCGACTGTGGGAAAGGCAGCAAGGTCAGGGAAGAGGTACGGTAGCATGAGGCGGCTCAGTGCAGCAGTGGCAGGGGAGGAGTAGCGTGCAACTACAGCGTCGTACAAGGTCTGAGCACTCTTGTACTGGCTAAAGTGCGCACGCTCAGAGGTAGGTAGGTGGCGACGCACAGCAAGACGTGCAGCAGCATCGCGCGTGGCCCACTGTGAGCGAACAGTGGCGTCAGCATCAGCAGCGGGGGCAGGAGAGGCACCAGAAGTGAGGTCAAAGAGGGAGAGGCCGTCTGCCCTATCGCACTGTAAGAAAAGCTGCAGGTCATCTATCCAGACTTCAAAGTCAATGGCCCGACCCTCAGCGTCAAAAGCGAGGACACTAGGGGTAGCCATGACAGCAGTAGACTAGCAGTGCAAACAGTAGGGTGAGGGCAGTGCTGTGAGAGAGGCGCTGCTCTTACCGGACAGGGCGGCTCGGGCGGCTCGACTGCAGGGCGGCTCGGCGACTCGACGGCTGGGCGGCTCGGCTGCTGGGCGGCTCGGCGGCTCGGCTGCTGGGCGGCTCGGCTGCTGGGCGGCTCGGCGGCTGGGCGGCTCGGCTGCTGGGCGGCTCGGCTGCTGGGCGTATCGGCGGCTGGGCGGCTCGGCTGCTGGGCGGCTCGGCTGCTGGGCGGCTCGGCGGCTGGGCGGCTCGGTTGCTGGGCGGCTCGGCGGCTCAGCGGCTGGGCTGCTCGGTTGATGGGCGGCTCGGCGGCTGGGCTGCTCGTAGGAGTAGGCGTGGGGGCCGTAGGAGCAGGCGCCGGGGCCGTAGGAGCAGGGGCCGGGGCCGCTAGGGCGGCGGATCGGGGCCGCGAGGGCGGCGGATCGGGGCCGCGAGGGCGGCGGAGTAGGGGCCGCGAGGGCGGCGGAGTAGGGGCCGCGAGGGCGGCGGATCGGGGCCGCGAGGGCGGCGAATCGGGGCCGCGAGGGCGGCGGAGTAGGGGCCGCGAGGGCGGCGGATCGGGGCCGCGAAGGTCGGCGGATCGGGGCCGCGAGGGCGGCGGAGCGGGGCCGCGAGGGCGGCGGATCGGGGCCGCGAGGGCGGCGGATCGGGGCCGCGAGGGCGGCGGAGTAGGGGCCGCGAAGGGCGGCGGAGTAGGGGGGCCGCGAGGGCGGCGGATCGGGGCCGCGAAGGGAGGCGGCCGGCGCCGCGAGGGTGGGGCCGCGGGGTCGCTAGGGTAGGGCGACAGAGCCGCGAGGGCGGCTCGAAAGGGCCGCGAGGGCGGCGCGAAGGGGCCGCTAGGGCGGCGCGAGAGAGGGGAGCGCGACTCGGGCAGGGGCTGAGTGCGCTCCGGGCAGGAAAAAAAAAAAAAAAAAAAAAAAAAAAAGGTGGGCCCTAGGAACAGTTCCCACGAGGGAACCTGCTCGATACCATGAGAAGAAACAAGGAATGAATGAACTATGAATGAATTGGGTACAAGTGCTAACCCTAATTGGGTTGTACCCCTTATGGGCTACCCCACTATAGCCTACACAATATGCATGAGCTATAATATTCTGACACCTTGATCAGGAGAAGAAACGCAACCCTAAGCCTACGTTCCTGGCATGTGAATTTACATTTTTGCTGCCGACTTTTTTGTTTTTCTACCCGCAGCCAACTCGACTTCGTCCTCCCCTACTCCATTCGCCAGAGCCAAAGCCCCGTGACACCTCCCCTCCCCCCTCCACCCCGTGCCTGTTCTTTTAAGCTGTTGGATTGTTAGAGCTCCGCGGATGTGTCTGCTCCGCTCGTTTATTAGTGCAACCTGTGTCAGCCCCACCCTTCTTTCCATCGACAAGACCGACGTACCGTTCGCCCCGGGCGGCACACTCCATGAGCTCTGTTACTTCTCTCATTTTTTCTTTCTGCGCACTTCCGCGCTCTCATTTTCACCCTTTTCGCGCTTCCGCGCTCTCACGTTCTCTCTCTGCTCTTTTCCTCGCGTACAGGTGAAGGAGCTGCGGACATTCCTCACCCTGCCCTTTGAATGGTCGTATATATTATGCTCCGACGCGTTACCGCGCCGATACCTGCGCGCGCGCAACTTGCACGTGTTGTGCGCCGAGCGGAAGTTGCGAGACACGCTCAGGTGGCGTGACGAGTGCCTCGCTGACGAGTGTCCGCATTTTAACAGGTATTTCCACTTTCCAGCCGTGTTCTGCTTTTGTTCGTTTTTCCCGGCCTACGCGAATGTCGGTTTGAGCCTTTTGCGTCTTATTTTTTTCCATTGCCTTTGCATAGGTCGTCTGCAAGCAACACGGAACGCCGTATATCGGATATGGACATTCTGCGAGGGCTTGTCATCGACACCCGCTTCCTCCGCGTGTCACATTCTGCCAGACTAATTTGGCGTTTGCTTGTTTCCTGGCTATTGTTTTTCAGGTCGCTTATTATTCACTCAGCGGCTGTGAAGAGTTAGGGTCGAAGCTGCTGCTTTTCCCTCCATTATTATATTATCTAACTGTAGTTCTCTACAGCTCTGTAGTTCTGTTCTGGTAGTTCTGTACTTCTCTTGCAGTTGCTGTGCAGTAATCTAATTCAAATACATTTTGATGTAAATTATGCGTGATTTAAATACAGCGGTTGTGCTTTGGTACGTAAACAATGCAAATCATGGGATTGAAATAAATATAAACGGTTGTGCTGAAAAAGGTTTTACCAGCCACAATCTGATGTTTTGTAGGTTGCGAAGTGTACTAGTAACCAGAGAAACGTTACCCTGTTATGCTAACGTATTTCTATTACAAATGATTAATTTTCTTCACAACATCAAATATAGAACATGAGTAACAGGTAACGCTTTGTTTTCGCAAGCAACTCTCGAAGCTCGTTAACCAATCAGATTGTTCATGTTTCACTTGCACGACAATTGTGTGGTGTCGTGTGTTTTTATGACGTCAGGCAAAATCGACCAATGAGGTTTACTGATCTTGGCGATTTCGATTGGCTTTCGACATTTTGTTACAAGGCACACGAGGGAATAAGCGGATGACACCTGGCTTCGAGTGGAGAATTCATATTCATACTTACGCTGAAGTAGCTTCGAGAGTGCTGAGATGTGCGGCACAGATTCGATTCCGATTCCTGTGAAAGTGCATTCACAATCAAAGTAACGCTGAAGTAGGTTTGACATGCTTGAGATGTGCGGCTCAGATTCGTCGCCAATTTTCCAGCATGTAGGTTCGAATCCAAAAGCAGCTTCAGTGCAGGTTTGCCAGCAACCCCAGGGTAGGTCGCCTCAAACCAACCACAGAGCTGCTTCAGACCTACTTTGCCGTAAGTTTCAGAAGCCCGATTTTTTGGGATGCTGGCAGAAAAAAAAGTGGCGGGAACGAAAGATTTGACAGTTATAACCTAGTCACCGCCCATCCTCTAAAGCTTTTGGTTCATGAAACACCCTAAACTTGTCTTTTTTTTTTTGCTAGATGATCGGCCATGAATGATGCTGTTATGAGTCGATATCTCAAAACTCCCACTTGTGATCGGAGCCATTGCCTGGACTTCTCGTTGCATTCTTCAATCCGTTTCAAAGACACCCACTTCGATTTCGGAAAACGGAACCAGGAAGAGTTTCTCTAGAAAAGAGTGGAACAGCAGCGGCTGTGTGGAATATTATCAGAGGTGTGGCTTCCAAATCTCAAGCATGTGGTTCCTACACGAAACAGTCAGAACTGTTATGACTTCAATGAATTATAAATTAGACACCAACATCACTTGCTATAGAAAGTCTTGCAAAGTGGTGAGCCCAGCAAGAGTTTTCATATTAATAGGATGAGTGCGTACTTGACATGGCCGTAGATTGCCTCGAATAGGCCGTGTTGATTGACCCTGGGGACTGCAGGAATTTCGCGCCATAACAAAAAATTCACTCCGCAATTACACGGCAGTCACGGAGCACCGTTCCTTGTCTCCAAGCAAGCTTGCCTCTTCGCCCTGCACGTCCACAACAGCAGCTGCCATGGGCATGGCTTGACCGTTCTTGCCAACTTCAGCCCCTTCAAAATTCCAGGGATGAACCACAGCACTTGCAGCAGCAGAAGCGACAAAAGCACCGCTCGGGTTGCAGCCCTCTGTACGAGCATCTGTGCCAAGAATGAAATCAATGGAGCTGCTGGGAGCGCTCAGCGCAGCAAGCGCATAGAACCCCACAGCGAGCACCAGTACAAGGCAGATGAGCATTGCCAAGTGCACATAGGAAAACGCCAGCCCCATGTGCTCCCACTTGTGCTCCTCGCAAATCAGCTTGTAATCTTGGTCTGTGGGGTCGGTGCGGCAGTGCGAGGGCTGCATGTAACCGTACAGGGATGCACCCGTCACCAACAGCCACGAGCCCTGAAGTATGATCCCCACATTCGACAGCGTATCCAGGAGGAAGCTTCTGGGAAAGGCGGCGGTGAGGAGCAATGTGAGGGCGGTGGCTGAGAGGAGGAGGACGAGGAAGATGTGGTAGCGGGCCTCGATGGGGCCGTTGTGCCCCGTGGAGTGGAAGAAGAACATGACCGCCGCACACGTGTATGGCACTGATGCAATCACATGCAGCGTGCCCTTGGGGAATGGCAGGTACCTGGACGACGGGGGTCACACGGCAGGCAGAAGGGTAAGGAAATGAAAATGGAGCACGGTGTATCATACAGCAAGAGAGTCAAAATTAGTGCCACTAGAATGAAATGGAAAGCATGGCGAGTCGCCTAGTTGTCATCGGATTGAAATGGAGCATGCGGAAAAGGTCTCACCTGGTGCTGTCATGAAGAAGAAGCACAGCGTAGGTCAAGACGAACACGACATTGGCTGACAGATGCTGCGAGAAAGGAGGAGAGACAAGGGAATTCGCACAAAGATAAGATGTCACACCCGAGGGAATTCGCGGCTTTGATGCCTTCCATTCCAGGTTTTGAGAACGTAACTACCAGATTGCAGGCATTGATCTTCTAACGGACGTGAAAGCAGCTTAATTTTGCACACTGAAATGAAAAGGCGGGTACAACCATGTCGCACATTCACCCACCAACGCGCACAGCCATACGCAAGGACATCTTATGACAGCATTAAAAGGTTTACTTCTGAGTCGGCTCAAAAGCTCCCCACGCACAGCCGCACGCACCTCGTAGCTATTGAGAAGGACGTAAGACTGAATGAAGATGTTGATAAACGCGGTAATCATATACGCCCCCCCGCCTCCCACTACCGCGTACAGCTGCATTCGCGCCCAGTGCCCCGGCAGCGGCATGGGATGCCACACGCGCGCGGCGAACGATTGCGGAGAGGCGAGGAAGTTTATAACGGAGCAGCGGAAGTTCCAGAGGCCCAGGAAGAGGAGCAGACAGCCCGGGGTCGCGTGTCCGTAAAAGGTCCCCATGGCTTGGCGAATGGAGATCGAATGCAGCGCTTTCCCAAGGACGACGTAGTTACTAACAAGCAGCAGTAAGACGGTTGTGGTAGTGCGGAAAGCCGTTCCAGGTAGTACTTAACCGAACTGTAGTAACTCTCTTAGGAGTACTACACTGTGACACGACTCAACTTTGTCTAAACGCTGACTCAAAAGTCGGACTTGGTGAGTCGCTTATCTGATCGCTTATTTGATCCTCCGTCGCTGGTGAAGAATTGGAAGAATTTCTGAGATGATCACACGGTCGCAGTTCTAGAACTGCTGAGTACCAAGCACATAGCTCACTACGAAGCTGATGATAGGTGCTACGCGCACGCAGAGCAGCCCATGATATGTAGTACCCCACGTGCCGCATTTTCAGGAAACTTTCCCGTTGAACGGGAGCCCCGCCGACATGAAGATCAGGAGTAGCCATCCACCGACCAATGAAAGCAATCCAGCACCCCCAAGGCGTACAGTGATGCCATAGGGAACGGGTACTCCCCCCTGTGAAAGCCACGCTAGCAGGCGACTGAGATGAGCCATACACGCCAGGAAGCACGCCCAACCCGCTTCCCTGAAATGACGGATCCAGAAAGTTACGAAGTCACGCAGGGTGGCAAAGTCCACCGCTGCCGCAATTGGCTCGGGCACGTCAGCGAAATGTGCTTTGGTGAGCTTCAAGAGAGGCGTGGTATGTCGGAGCGGGCACACGCTGGGATGGCAAATAGTGGCGGGGAAGAAGAAAATACATCAGTGAACCTAGTCACCGACAGTTTCACGCATTCCATGAACAGATTCCATATTACATAAGGTGTAGCATACATAGTTGAAGTATATGGCTCTTAGAGATGGCAGTAGACCATTTCGAAAAATATTTATATGCCAATTCATCAACCATATATATTAAAAGCACCTTATTTTAAATCATAAGCTAAAACTATTAGAAGCAAATGCCAATAATATCGTCTTTTCATACATCATAAGTTACAAAAGTCCCTACCCGTGGAAAATCTTGCAAAGTGGTGGAAAGCGGTTAGATTACTAGAGAAGAGATCCGTCAGCAGTTCGCACAAGGCTGCATGGACTCACACACTGCTGGGGAGCCGAGTGGGAGAGAGACAAGCAGCAGCAGTTAGCGGCTTTTGCGGCAGTTGCGACGGGCGTCCGTCCGCCTTCGCGTTCCCCCTTTCCCCATTTGTTACCACATCTTGTTTGATTACTTATCTTGTTGAGGGGTACTGTAGGCGACCGGTCCCTCTGGCTGGCTTCATGACTCGGGACCGCACCGCAGTGGTTTGCCGCAACCGTGACTGTTGCTATACATTGGCGGTTTCGTCTGCGATCTCATCTCACACTCCGCGTTGCCCCGTAAATCCCGTCCAGGGTTGTTAGGCTCAGCCGAAACCGCAGCAGCGGGTTCAAGGACGAGATGGGCGACGCTCCGCGGTTGTTAGGCTCAGCCGAAGCAGCAGATGCAAGGCGGCGCGACCGAGCATCCACGGGGCATTGCAGCTGGCGGTTTACGAGAAGCTCGGACGCGAACCCTAATTCTCCGCGCGATTCCCGAGCTCCTCTCTCGCAGGGGCCCGTTTACTTCAACTGCCAGTGGCGCTGGCGAGAGGCTCCCCTCGGCGAGTGGGAACCTTGTTCTCAATTGCGACGGTTAGATGGCTGTTCTACTGGTTAGACGGTCGTACCAACTGTTAGGCGGCTGAACCAGGCAACACCAGGCCCTCGTTTATCCGAGCCGCCCCGCTGTTCTTGCGATCGGGAAGGCGTTTCGCGCCTCGTCCCTGCGATGGATACTCCGACGTATATGTACCGCAACTGGCAGCTGTTTGTATTCATGCTCTTCCTTATCCAGCCTCACCAAGTCACCCAGCCTGGTCACACGCATCAGCTGACCCGAATCAATCTCCCCGCTCTATCCATCTCTCTCGCTCTCAAGCCGGTCAGGCAGAATGGCGAGCTCTCGCCTGCCTCTGCTGCTTCCGCTGCTCCTCGTCCTCGCGCTTTCCCTCGCGCCGTCGCTCTCCACCCACGGATCTGCCCTCGCCCGCTCCATCTCCGCAAGTGACGTCAGCGACGGCGACATTGACAGCTATCTTAGGGGGAGTGCCAGTAACGAGGGGGACTCTGCCGCGGTGGCGGTGCCGGGAGCGGAGGAGCAGCATGAAGGCAGGAAGCTCCAGCAGCAAGTCGGTGAGTTGCTAGCTGCAGTGCGCGCGTGGCAAGTTATGGCGAGTTATGACTCAATTGTTACCATTTTGTGTATTGGTGACCCGCTCACGCCAGTGAGTTGTTTACATCTGTCACGTGCTCCCTAGGATGTGTGCCTTCGCTTCTTGAGCTTCCTTTCATGAGCTTTCTCGCTCGGTTCTCATCCTCGTTCCTCGTTCCTCGTTCCTCGTTTCTTTTCCTCAATTCCCAACTCTTCCTTGGTTGTGCTTTGTCATGAACACCTCCTCCCAACCCCGCCCGCCCTGCCTGCACCACAGCATGTGGAAAGGACTCCATTCGCTTTACCAACCGCTTAGTTTCGGATGCCATGAATGGCTCCGCTACGTACCAGCTTTTCATAAAGAACACGTGCCCTGAGGACGTCATCGGCAGGTAATGCTCGGTTTATGAGTTCAGCAACAATGCATTTTTCCGTATTTTATGTCTGTAATGCTAAATCTCTTGCATTCACGTGTGTGCATGGACTGGCTTGCAGGTTTGTGTTTTGGAATTGCGACATAGATTCGATTTTTTCATCTGGAAACCTCAACTTCCAGACTGGAAAGCCTTTGTTTAACAGTTGCTGCAAGCCTCGTGGTCGAAATTTCTGCGAGCTGGCGATCAACACCGGTGTTACAGGCGTGCAGCTGCCAGCTGGCAAGGAGTTCAAAGTGCTGTACTTTAACACGAAACCGGTTTACCCGTGTGTGCAGCAGCTCACGTTCAGGAATGGTATGCGCTACTATCTCAATGTCGATAAGTGGCCGCAGGAATGCTCCACCCTTGGGATGTAACTCGGCGTGTGTGTGTTGTGTGGTGGGTGGAGTCTTGGACAGGGTAGGCGCTGTTGTTTGTGGCGCTTGGCGCTTATCCAGGAAAGGATGGGTGTTGCTAGTGGGTGGTTGGTGGTTCACTGAATAAGCTGAAAATGTAATGCATTTATTATTTTGCTTATGGGCCCTGTTTTTAACATCACATGTACAGCCGGAAACAACAGAAGTGTGCAGTGCGGTTTGATTACTCAGCCTGCTGGAACCTGATCAAGTCAACAGACTGCTCTAGAAATGCACTCCACTCCATCGCAGTCAGCTTTCTGAATTGAAGTGAAATTGAACAAAGCGTGCGTGACACTCAACCTTCGGCGGCTGTTGCGGTTGTTGTGCTCATCTGCAGCATCTCACGACGACACGAGCGTTCTACCTCGCGTTTCTCCTCTCTACCCATCTCGTAGAATATCTTACGGAGAAACACCGCTGTTGCTTCTTGCGGTTTCGCATGCGGTATTGTCACACTCCTCCTTGCCCAGCCAATCAGCAGATCCAAGGCGAAGCGACCGAGCGTCTACAGTACATCGTTGCGGTTAGCGGTTGACTAGAATTCCAATCGTGGCGGTTTCTCTCTTTTCGCCCGCGATTCTCCCGCCACTCTCTGGCAGCGGCTCGTTGACCTCAACTGCCGCAGGAGAGGTTCTCTCGCGAGTCAGAGTGTTCTCAAACTCGACGGTTAGATGGCCGCCCTAACTGTTAGACGGTCCTTCATATCCGAGCCGTCTCGCTCTTCTTGCTATCGGAAAGTCGTTTTGCGCCTCGCGCCTCGGTTCCCGCGATGGGTATCTCGACGTTTATGTACCGCGACTGCCAGCAGTTTGTATTCTTGCTCTGGCCCTTCCAGCTACATCCAGTCACCTAGCTGGTCCCAGGCATCCGCGAATCTATCTTGAAGCTCAATTTTGAACCTCTTTTTACCTCGTTTTACTGAACCTTGAGAGTCTCTCAAGCCGGTCAGGCACAATGGCGAGCTCTCGCCTGCCGCTGCGGCTTCCTCTCCTCCTCGTCCTCGCCCTCTCCGTCGCGCCGTCGCTCTCCACCCACGGATCTGCCCTCGCCCGCTCCATCTCCGCAAGTGACGTCAGCGACGGGGATATCGACCGTTATGTTAGCGGGATTTTCAATAGCGAGGCTGAATCTACCGCAGTGGCGGTTCCAGGATCGGAGGAGCATGTGCGCCGATCTCTCCAGCGGCAGCAAGTCTGTAAGTCGCTCGTTGCAGTGCGTGCATGGCGAGTTGTGACGCATCATGACTCGTTGTGTTTCATTGGTGGCCGGCTCACACCAGTGCCTTGCTCGCGCCAGTGACCCCTCGTTCTTGTTTCCTCGCTCCACCAAGGTGTTGGTTATACTTATGAGGCTCCTCTCTCCAACCCCACCCGCCCGCTCTCTCTGCTCCCAGCATGTGACCAGAACTCACTTCTTATCACCAACCGCATCGTGTCAGACCAGGGCAACGGCACCAAGGTGATCCAGCTAATTATCAAGAACTTGTGCCCCTATGACGTCATTGGCAGATATTAATTCTATTTGAATAACAGTGTCTCGTATTGTCGCGATTTTTTGCTGTTGACTTGTTCTAGCTCTGTCCTTGTAATCATTCTTTCATGCACTCACGAGTGTCCACGCACCTGTATTGCAGGCTTATATTCTGGAATTGCCAAATGGGTACGATTTTTGCAGCCGGCAACACTAACTTCCAGACTGGAAAGCTCTTGTTTAACAATTGCTGCAAAGCTCGTGGTCAAAATTTCTGCGAGCTGGCGATTAACACCACTGATTGGGGCGTGCAGCTGCGCGCTGGCAGGGAGTTCAGAGTGCTGTACTCAGGGACAAGAATAGCCCGTCCATGTGTGCAGCAGGTCACGTTCAAGAATCAAGATAGGTACTATCTCGATGTCAACCAGTGGCCATTTGAGTGCTACTCGTACGGGGTGTAGGTACGGTAGTGTGCTGCAAGTGCATCTGCGGTACTTCATGCGTGCTGCTGCAAGCTAGTAGGCTTTTGATGGTATGGAGGGGGGGGGAGGGACTTGTTTTATGAAGTTATTATGTACTACTGCATGGTATTATTATGTACGGTAGTTTTGTTCTCGGTCAGCTACAGTTCAAACACAGGCCAGTACAACTGAGAGTCTGGGAATCCAAAGTAATGCACTGGGCAATAGTAACAGCTGCTGAAAATAATGCAAATGTGCCTGTCAGGCTGTCACCTTTGATATAGTAGTCCCTTGCCAAGGGCAAAACTGTGCGGTGAGCGTGGATCGAACACGCGACCTTCAGATCTTCAGTCTGACGCTCTCCCAACTGAGCTATCCCCGCTCTGACAGCTGTCGTCAGGCCTTATTACAAATAGACATTTCGCTCGACGTGAGCGAATTGCCTTGTTGGGGGGCTGTTTGGCTGCCATCTGCCATTTGGCTGCCATCTGACCAGGCCCTGGGAATGTCGTGGAACGTCGATGGCCTTTGAGCATTCAGGGGTGGAGAACTGGAGTTCAGTGGAATCGCGGATTCAGAAATCCAGTTTCATACGAATTCATGCTTGCAGTTTCACCCGTCGGACTTAGTTTCAGGTTCCCAGTTTCAGGCATCTTGTTTCAGGCTTTCAGTTTCAAACTTAGCCATAGCTTCAGGCTTTCACAGCATCCCAGTGCGAGGCTTACACAGCCTTACAATTCCAGGCGCCTGTTTCAAGTATCTGGTTACAAATTTGTTCAACCTGCGTTGCTTTTCAAAACAAATCGTTGCGTTCCAGATAGGTGCCTGAAATCGTTGGTGCCATGGCCTCGCTCGTTGCCTCGGGGCCCTCGCGGGCTGTCACCGCCGGCTTTACTGCGTCGTCTAATCTAATCGACAGACTGAAACGTAACTCCCGGAATGCCGTTCCTTCAAAGCTTTATTTCCCGTCAAGCAGTCAAGGCAGTACGGTACCATACCGGGTTGTGCGTGTAACGAGGGCTTCGAGTTCGTCCGAGCCGTCCGTTGCTTCCGCATCAGGAGCTTCTTCCGCGTCATCAACGACCGGACTGATTCCAATCACGTTGAAGCCAGCACTGGACAAGGTTGGTTAATTTTCAAATGCCGGTCAGCTCGACTTATTCTCTCACTCGACATGTCACCACATTCGAACCACGACTCAAGAAGCATTTTTTTCACTCCATTCTAAACTTTTCCTCTGACTCCACCCTCCTCCACGATTCCTGTGGACCCACAGCGGGATTCGGAAGCGTTGAAGGTGGCGCTCGAGTGCTTGAAGGAAGCCGGCTCCGTCACAGCCTGGGGTAGCTACCCTAACGTCGCGAGACGAACGGTGAGTGGGAGCGAGCAATTGACTGCGTCGGTGAAGTTAACGAACGTGAAACTCAGTGGGTGATTCAGAATGTCCCGTGCGATTCTCGCAAATATTTGGTATGAGCTCCGCCTGCTGAATGGGATGAGGAATTTGTGGGTGCACGCCTTCCGCTGTTGCGTGCAGGCGAGTGTGCGCGAGCTAACGCAAGTGAGCATGCTCCTCAAAAGCCGTGGATGCGTGGCTTTTGCTGTTGCGTGCAGGCGAGTGTGCGAGAGCTGACTCAAGTGGGCATCAAGAACGCGGAGAAGCTCGCCGTGCCGTCTGTCCGCAACGACGTAAGTGCTGCTGCGCGCACACGTCGTTCTTCCACTCCTTCCCTGCCGGCGTTTTCCCATACTCCCCGCTACTCCTTCTCCACTTCTAGTCCCTGCCTTCCCCATTCTTCTTCCCCCATTCCTTCCTCCTCTCCCATGCCGCCCACCCCATCCTCCCAATCCTTTTCGTCCCAATTCAGTCGTCCAAACGCCCTCCGCCCATGCTGTTCCTTACCGCGCTCTTCCTCGCCCTCTCATTCCGCATTATTCGATTCCCTCCACCCAATGCCCTCCACCCAATGCCCTCCACCCAATCCCCTCCACCTAAGGCCATCCCTCCATGCCCTACCTTTCCCCCCACCAGGCGCTCTTCCTCGCCACTGTGGTCGGCACCACTTCCATCCTCGCCCTCGCTGGCACCCAACTACCAGGGGTGAGCAGGAGTGGTCTGGCTTGGGTGAGCAAGGTGGGCGAGGGGTGAGCACGTGTGCGAGGGATGAACAGGGGTGAGCCGGGGTGAGAGGGGTGAAGGGTTTCCTGAAGTTAGACTCCTGCAAATCCTTCGGATTTCCCTCCTACGGTTTCCACTGGACCATGCTGTGCCCCACATGCTTCCCACCCCCCACCTGCCGTTCACCCCACACCATCTGTCCGTTTCTCACCCGCGTCCCCCCCTCCTCTCCTCCCACGCGCCCTCGCAGGACTGGGGTTTCTTTGTGCCGTATCTCGTGGGCGGTCTCTCGATCGTTGTCCTTGCTGTCGGCAGTGTCGCTCCAGGGTATGCCCTCCTCTCCTCTCCCACACCCCCCTACTCTCCTCTCCCACACCCCCCTACTCTCCTCTCCCACACCCTAACCCTTTCCATACCCGCTGTTGTTCACAAGCACTTAAGGAAACCGTGGTGGAGACATATCACTCTAGTAACATGAACCAATGCAGAGCAGAGCACCTGGAAGATATCACGAATGTGGACGCGTGTGGCGCACATGAAGGCAAGAAATAGATAGTACACCATGCTTGAGTCCAAACTTTTCAATAACAATATGTACGCTGCAATGCCATCAACTTTCATTCTCCTCCCTCTCCCCATCCTCGTTACAGGCTTCTCCAGGGCGGCATAGGAGCCATGGCGCCTGCATTCTCAGACTACAAGGACCGAGTGCTCCGCCACGAGGCAGGCCACTTCCTCTGTCAGTCCCTCTCCCTCCCACTGCTCTCCCCTCATTTGCATTCGCAATCAGCCAAGCAAGTAAAAGCATGTTCTCCCTTGCTCCCTAGCCCCTCAACCTGCCCTGCACCCACCCACTCCTCTGAAACCCCGACCCAGCCATCCTCTCTCTCCCTTTCCCCTCCTCCTCCAACCGATTTTCACATCTTCCTCCCCCACCCCCCATCACCTCCTCTGTCCTGCTGCAGTGGCGTACCTTCTGGGCCTGCCACCTGTCGCGTACTCATTGGACATCGGCAAGGAGCACACGAATCTGCTGGATGATAAGCTGCAGAAGAAGATCTACAGCGGCAAGTTGGAGAATGATGACGTGGACAGGTGAGGCATTTTCCATGAGGCACAACCGCCAGTCTGATTTGAAGCGGGGACTTCTGGATCATAAGAGTATGCTGTAGAAGCGGAGTTACAGTGGGAAGCTTCTAGGCAAGCACGTGGACATGTGGGGGATGTGGTTTGGCCACATCCCATTTTAATTTGGGGAGATGGCACATTGGTCGTGCCCCCTTGTGTTCCCCATCCTCTTCCTCCACTCCTCATGCATTTACCATGGGCGGCATGACAGCAGAGGGGGCTGCTGGTTGACCTATGGGGGACCTTACGTTGACCTTACATTTTCTCTTCGTCCCCCGCTGGCACACCTCACACCCCCCCTTGCTGCAGGCTGGCTGTCGTGGCGATGGCGGGCATGGCAGCGGAGGGGCTGCAGTACGAGCAGGTGATGGGGCAGACTGCGGACCTCAACTCGCTGCAGCGCCTCATCAACCGCAGCGGGCTAGGCGCACTGACCCCCGAGAGGCAGCAGAACCTCACTCGCTGGGCGGTGAGTCATGCCTTGGTGATGCATGGTTTTGCTACCATGTTCATGGTTTCGCTACCATGTTCATGGTTTTGCTACCATGTTCAGCAATGGCTTGGTGCTGTGAACACACACAACAGCTGCTTGCTCTCTTGCACTATTTCCTGACGGTCAAAAGTAGTACTGTCGCCAGCGCATCTTGCTGTTTGAGTTCCGAATGTTGAGCTTTGTGTCTGCTTCTGCCCGTCATTCACCACCAGGTGCTCTATGCGGCTTCGCTAATCAAGAACAACTCCAAGTCCTTTGATGCTCTCATGGAAGCCATGGCAAGAGAAGCCCCCGTCGAAGAGTGCATAGCAGCAATTGAGAATGCTGCGGCAAAATAAAAGCGCGGGCAGTGTTGGTGTGTAGAGGAGTCACTTTCTCTGTGAATGGTACACGGGAAGCTAGGAAAACTGCATGTAAATGCATGCTACGGTATTCTCGAGTTGCCAAAATCTACATCATACCAAACATTAGCTGGCAGGCAAGAAAGCATCCATTCCAGTGTAACCCACCCAGCCCCTATGTGCAGGTGAAACTAATCAATCGATTTCAATAACTAATATTGACATATACAGCAAGGTGCAGAAGAGCATAACAATCTCTAGGCGAGGTTCAACGCCTGATCCCCCCTAAGAAACTTGCATGGCATCAGCAGCTGGCTCACCAGCAAAACCATTCCAATTAACTGTACAAGAATCACAGCAGCACTGATTATGATGCTGCTGTGCAAATGGCCAAATGGAGCTTGTTTTCCTGCTACAACAACACACAGACGCTGCGTTGCCTGCCACCCTCATATCTGGGACCAGATCAGGAGCAAATGTAGCAGGAGACTGAGAGGGTATGAGCGAAGGCCAGGATGAAGAAATGGACGAAGATGAGAAGGATGGTGATGGGGATGGCGGAGAAGCGGAGAAAGGGGAGAAAGAGGAGGAGGAGAAGGACGACGAGGATGCTATTGACTGTGACTGCGACGCTGACGCTGACGGCGATGGTGGCGAGGAGGACGAAGCTGTTGACGCCACGTCCACGCTCCACCGACCGAATCTCACAAACGGCTGCGTTTCAGCAAGATCGCAAGGAGCGTAGGAAAACCGCGACGAGAAAGGTCTCTTCTGCGGAGAACGAGGGACGTTCACCACCACCGATCCCGCTTCCGTGTGAACGGCGGTCGTGCTCTCCGCGATGGCATCCGCTGGAAGTTTGAACCGCCGGCCACTCGTCTGGACGGAATCCGTCACCGTGAACTGCTGCTGGCGCTGGTTCTGAAGCAGACGCTGACGGAAAATGTCTCCGTCTGAAGGTGTGGGAGCGGAATGGAACTTGCAGACGATGGTGAGCAGCGCAGACCCGTGATTGGCCGAAGCGCGTATTCTGTCATTCTGCTGCTGGTAGAATCTGTTACAATCACTCTCAGCATCGCCGTGAAACTCGCCAGATTCCTGGCCTGCGCTTCGATCCAGCAAAACTTGCACGTGGTGCAGAGGAAGGCCGCGCTGCTCGACGGAAAAGACGTAGGCGTCGACGGTATCCGTCACTATCCACATCGGACAAGACATCCCGGAACCGTCGTTCTCGAGAATTTCCCAGTCAATGTTGACGAAAACTGGATCGTTGGAGGAAAGGAACGGTGGTGATTGGTCTAAGCCTGGGTGAAAAGCAGAGCCAGAGCCTGAATGGACATCGTACGGTTCAGAGCGGTGGGGCTTCCGGAGCTTCATGGTGCGAACGCAACCCATATTGGCTAGCTTAGAGCCTAAGGTTGCGAGCTAGAAAAACTGCAAGTTACGCGGCGACGAATTCAGCGATGGGACGCTGGAGAACGTACTAGGCAGCGCTTGATGCTGCTACGATAGAGTTGGCGTAAATGCCGCTAGGCTCATGTAGGAGGACAGGAAATGGCTACTTGATCTCAAGTTAACGAAAGTATCAAGGTATGAACACTTGATATTTATGGCTGCCGAGAAAATATCTCTCCGACACGAATAGAGGCATTACAGAGCTAGATTACTCCAGCATTTAGTAACCACTCGGTGCGCAGCCGGTGGGTCAGGGAAGCAACTAGAAGGCAGTCAAGCTGCAAAGAAACATTGAACGAGGAGGACGTGGCATGGCACCTTGGGACGGGTCTGGAAGCCATGGCGGATGCACTCCTGTCACTGCTGGACTGATGCTTCCTACCCAGCCAGCTCGTTTCCAGTCAGAAAACTGGGAGGTGACGGGAGCAGCCATGGCTATGTGCTTGGTTATCTTCCTGAATGTTCTATTGTAAGGGTGTCGCACATGGCCGTTGACAACTTCGTGCACCAATGAGCGTCATGTAATCAGGATATCGTTGTGCTAGACGATGTTCCGCGATAGGATTCCCCGCGAACTCCTTTGGTCGATCCTTCGCCATGACAGCTCCCTATGTGGTTGCCTTCTAGGTTCGCCCTCGCCTGGATTCATCGCGGACAATCGCGACCGTTCGGCGGACTGAGATATTTTCATGGAAAAATATCTGCGCTCGAGAATGACTCCGGCAAGCTGGGATACTCGAATCTTCCAATTGTCGCACTCAGGGTGGTCGATATTCAGGAGTAACTCCACGTGTTGGGTCCAGTTGTGCCTCGCACGTACTCGATACTCTGAGTTTCGCAAAGCCTGAACGATACACATAGGCTAAATGATACGTATAAGCTCATACACCTAAATGGATTACACAAATTTAGGGTTGTGTCAGAACTCAAAAACGCGGAAAGAATGCTGTCAGAAATGGGATTCGTACCCATGCCCTTTGACCATCTCGGCCATTCTGACACATCAACAGCGAGACCGAATATTTTTTTTGTATCTTTGTTATTTTCCATAATCCAGCCCATTGCTTGTGTTGATTACCAAGGATGGCCCTCCACAACTCTCACAGAGGTGCGGGTGCCGCCTCCCGCCGATTCCGCGGGCCATGGGCAGCGACTTCCGCATTCTCGTCGACTCCCCGCCGGCTGCTGCTCCTTTCCGCCGCCTTGTTCGGGCTTCTAGCACTCTTGCGCTTCTCCCCGCACACCGCGCTTGACATCCGTCTGCGGTATCGCGCTAGTAACGAGCAGCGCTCTCCCTCTTCCCATAACGCGCGGGATTACAGAAACAACGCACAAAAAGCGCCGCGGGTGGAGGCGGAGACATCCGCGGAAGGGCTGCGCAGATTCGCGGGTTATGCTGTCAATCCCGCCTACGCGCCAGGCGATCGGAGGGAAGGCGGCTACCGCGAAGGGCGGCGGAAATTTCGCCGAGAACTGCTATATGTGGAGTGGCGCGCGCGCGTTGATGCGCTTTCCGCGGAGCGGGCGGAGAATGGGCCGTGGTGGGCGCGGGGGGAGTTGAGTTGGGCGGAAAAGGGGGAAGCGGAAGAGAGTGGGGAGGAGTGGAGAATGGAGGAGGAGCAGTGGGTGAGGGAAGAGAGAGAGGGAAAATTACAGGATATGCCGACTGGAGGGAATGAGGGAGGGAGTGAGGGAGTGAGTGAGAATGAGGAAAGTGATGACTCATCACTGCTCGCACCAGGAGCTGCAATGGCTGAGTCAGCAGATCAGAATGATGAGTCAGCAGATTACAGATATGAGTCAGCAGATGACAAGGACGAGTCAGCAGGCGACAGGGATGAGTCAGCAAATAACAGTTTACTAAGGAGTTCAGATACGGATGGGAGACTGGTTGTGGGAGAATGGGAGGATGGAGAAGAGGAGGAGGGAGAAGAGGAGGAGGGCGAAGAGGAGAAGGTAGAAGAGGAGGATGGAGAAGGGGAGGATGGAGAAGGGGAGGGGGGTGACGACGATTACGATAGCGATGAAGAGAGGGGCGAGGAGGAGAAGGAGGGACTAGGGGAGGACGAGGAGGGTGAGGGGGATGAGGACGGTGAGGAGGGAGATGCGGGAGATGGAGGGGCAGGAGGGGAAAGTCAATTCAGTCAACCCGGTCAGCAGGCACCATTGCCTGTTGCTGCTGCAGGCGACTCTGTTGAAGCAGCAGCAGCATGGGGAAGGTCGGGTGTGCCCTTTCCTGATGTGACTGAAACCCCAGCACCCAGTGCAGCGGATGTTCCTGTACCTGAAGTGACTGAAACGGGGGATGCTGCAGATATGACCTTTCCCAAGTCCCCCCGCACAGTGCCACGGGGAGGGTTGGATGTGCGGCGCTCACCCGAAGGGCCTCAAACGGGGCTAGCGGGAGGGTCGCATGAGCGCTCACTTGAGGGGAATCAAGCGCCGGGAGGGCCGCATGGGCTGCCGAGCTGGGCGGTGATGGTGACGCAGCGAGAGAAGTGGGAGGAGGAGGCGGAGCGGGAGGAGGCGAGGGAGAGGGATATGGATGATTCACGTGTGGCGCTGGCTCCGCTGCTGGTGGCGATGCAGGGTGAGAGGGTGGGGGGAGAGGAGAGGCAAAGTGGGGAGGCGGGGGAGAGGAGGAAGGAGAGTGCGAGTGGGGGTGAGGGTGTGGATCAGCAGCGTGTCCATACTGGACCTATTTATAACGAACAGTTTGGTACTGCCCCTGTTTCGAGTGTGGATATTTATGCAGCTGGCACAGTCTTGGGTGATGGGCTTGCGCATGGTAACGAGACAGCCAGTATCGAGGTTGGGGATGAAGATGGTCGAGGGGAGAAGAGAGGGGGTAGGGAAGGGGTGAGAACGATTGGAGAGGGTGGTGAGGAGGTGAAGAAAGGGGGGGAAACGGGTGAGGAGTCGGTGGGAAGAGAGATGGTTATATCAGATGCCAGCAGGGGCAGAGGACAGCACATGAAGGTGAATCGCAGGTGGGTGGGGTCACAAATGGGTGTGTTAGGGGCGATGGGAGGGATGAAAGACACGGGGGGGATGGGGAGGTTATTGGGGAGGAAGAAGAGGTTCGGTGGCGGGGAGTGGAGAAGGGAGGATACAGGGGAGGGAACGAAGGGGGTGAAGGGAGAGAGGGAGGAGGATAGGAAGAGGGATAGAGACAGTGAATGGGGCAGACGAGGACGGCTGTTGAGGGGGTTGGACGAGGAGGGAAGTGGGGAGGCGGGTGGTGAGGAGGGGAAAAGAGATGCCGAGGACGGAATGGGAGAAAGGATTGATCAAAGCAGAGGAAGAACAGTGGGTGCGAGTGAGGGAGTGTGTGAGGGAGTGGGCGAGGGAGTGAGCACAGGAATGAGTGAGGGAGGGAGCGAGGGAATAGAGGGAGTGGGAGGGGACGAGGGAGCGAGAGGGGGAGAGGGAATAAGCAAGAGAGCAGAGGAGGTGAGAGGAGAGGAGGCGAGAGGAGAGGAGGTGAGAGAGGAGGAGGTGAGAGGAGAGGAGGCGAGAGGAGAGGAGGTGAGAGAGGAGGAGGTGAGAGGAGAGGAGGTGAGTGAGGAGGAGTTGAAGCGGCGAGTGGGTCTCCTCGTGTGGCCCATGCCGGCACTCATAGCAGCGGTGGGGCGAGGAGAGGCGGCTGTCAGTCCCCTGCTGCAGCTCTCGCTGGTGCTGGGTGGGAGGGAGGCAGGGACGGGCGAGGAACGGGAGGAAGAGGAGGGAGAGGAGGGGGGTTGTGAGTGGGGCAATGAGGAGGGTAGTGAGGCAGGCAGTGAATATGGCTCTTCACGTGTGGGGAAGGAAGATGCAGCACAGATGGCATCAAAGGAGGCATCAAGGGAAGCAGCAGGGCGGGCAGCACAGCAGGCAGCGTTGCCTTCCAGTGCTGCAGGGCCTTCCAGGAAGGCATCAGGCCGTGCGGTGCTGTGCGCTGCCTTCCACCGCTTCCTCTCCTCCTCCCTCGCCCCCCACCGCTCCCTGCCCGCCCTCCACACCGCACACGCGGGAGGGGGAGGGGACGGGGGAGGAGGGGGAAGGGGAGGGGCAGGGGCTAGGGAAGTGGGAGGTGGAGGGGAAGATGGAAAGGGAGGGCAAGGGCAATTTTTGTTTGCCAGGTGTCGCAAGCTGGTTGGACGGCTGGGCCATGGGCCTGTCTCGTGGTGGCTGAGGCAGGTGGTGCTGGCCACGTGGCAGCTGTTCACTGGCTGGGAGGAGAGGCCGTTGAGGGGACATGGGAGGGAGAGCAGCTTCAGCGGCAGTGGCAGCAGCGGCAGTGGCAGCAGCGGCAGTGGCAGCAGCGGCAGTGGCAGCAGCGGCAGTGGCGGCAGCGGCAGTGGCAGCAGCGGCAGTGGGGGAAGGATGGGGCAGCGGGGCAGAGGGAGCGAATCAGCGAGGGCAGTGCTCCTTTTGGACTCTCTACACATTGCCGTGGCTCGGCCTGAGGAAGAGGTACTCAGGGGTGGAGAGCGGTGCGGCGATATTGAGATGCGCTCTCTGCGTTGCATACCCATCAACAGGCATCTAAGCTCAAGGCCTTCTCTTTCCTTCACCAGAGAGTCTCCTCGTCCCCACACCCATCCCACCTCAACACCCCAACCACTCTCCTTCCCACTCTCTCAACCACCCTTTTCCTCCTCCCCCACCCTATCGCTTCCCCATCCCCGCCGTTGCCCTTCCCCCATCCCCCGGCAGCTGGAGGTGGGGGCAGACGAGAGCTACATGCTCACCGTGGGGGGTGCTGCACCCTCCCAGTCGCCAGCAGTGATGGACAGCCCCCCCACACCCAACAACCCGATCCCCTTTCCTCCTGCACCTGACCATTCGTCGCCAGCACTCGACAGCGCCACCTACCCACCACACCCCCCACCCCTCCCCTTCCCCCCATCCCCCTCGCAGCTGGAGGTGGGGGCAGACGAGAGCTACGTGCTCACTGTGGGGGGTGCTGCACCTGATCATTCGTCGTCAGCAGTGATCAGAATCCATGTGAGCGGGAGCTGGGCGCGGAGCAGGGGGGTGGGTTGCGGTGCAGGGGGGTGTGTTGCAGTGCACAGGTGGTGTGTTTTTTCCATGTTGGCTGGGCTTGTGCTGAAAGAGATTCCTTTGAAAGCAACTTGTCGGCATGCACCCCTCGCATGCACCCCTCGCATGCACCCCTCGCGTGCACCCCTCGCGTGCACCCCTCGCGTGCAGTGCACCCCTCGCATGCACCCCTCGCGTGCACCCCTCGCGTGCAGTGCACCCCTCGCGTGCAGTGCACCCCTCGCGTGCAGTGCACCCCTCGCGTGCACCCCTCGCGTGCAGTGCACCCCTCGCGTGCACCCCTCGCATGCACCCCTCGCGTGCACCCCTCGCGTGCAGTGCACCTCTCGCGTGCACCCCTCGCGTGCACCCCTCGCGTGCAGTGCACCCCTCGCGAGCACCCCTCGCATGCACCCCTCGCGTGCACCCCTCGCGTGCACCCCTCGCATGCACCCCTCGCGTGCACCCCTCGCGTGCAGTGCACCCCTCGCGTGCAGTGCAACCCTCGCGTGCACCCCTCGCGTGCACCCCTCGCGTGCACCCCTCGCGTGCACCCCTCGCGTGCACCCCTCGCGTGCACCCCTCGCGTGCACCCCTCGCGTGCAGTGCACCCCTCGCGTGCACCCCTCGCGTGCACCCCTCGCGTGCACCCCTCGCGTGCACCCCTCGCATGCACCCCTCGCATGTACCCCTCGCGTGCAGTGCACCCCTCGCGTGCACCCCTCGCGTGCAGTGCACCCCTCGCGTGCACCCCTCGCGTGCACCCCTCGCATGCACCCCTCGCATGCACCCCTCGCGTGCACCCCTCGCGTGCACCCCTCGCGTGCACCCCTCGCGTGCACCCCTCGCGTGCACCCCTCGCGTGCAGTGCACCCCTCGCGTGCAGTGCACCCCTCGCGTGCAGTGCACCCCTCGCGTGCACCCCTCGCATGCACCCCTTGCGTGCACCCCTCGCGTGCACCCCTCGCGTGCACCCCTCGCGTGCACCCCTCGCGTGCACCCCTCGCATGCACCCCTTGCGTGCACCCCTCGCGTGCACCCCTCGCGTGCACCCCTCGCGTGCACCCCTCGCGTGCAGTGCACCCCTCGCATGCACCCCTCGCATGCACCCCTCGCATGCACCCCTCGCGTGCACCCCTCGCGTGCACCCCTCGCGTGCACCCCTCGCGTGCACCCCTCGCGTGCACCCCTCGCGTGCAGTGCACCCCTCGCGTGCAGTGCACCCCTCGCGTGCAGTGCACCCCTCGCGTGCACCCCTCGCATGCACCCCTTGCGTGCACCCCTCGCGTGCACCCCTCGCGTGCACCCCTCGCGTGCACCCCTCGCGTGCACCCCTCGCATGCACCCCTTGCGTGCACCCCTCGCGTGCACCCCTCGCGTGCACCCCTCGCGTGCACCCCTCGCGTGCAGTGCACCCCTCGCATGCACCCCTCGCATGCACCCCTCGCATGCACCCCTCGCGTGCACCCCTCGCGTGCACCCCTCGCGTGCGGTGCACCCCTCGCGTGCAGTGCACCCCTCGCGTGCACCCCTCGCGTGCACCCCTCGCACACACCCCTTGCATGCACCTCTCTCGTGCATGAAGGGTCAATGCGTCGCTCTTCATCCAACCGCCCTGCTGCCAATGAACCTCTTCCCTCTCTGCTATCTCCCTTTCCCCTCCCCATCTCTTCTCACACCTAGTCCCTTCGCGAACCCTCTCCACTCTCCACCCGCTCTTTCCCTTCTTATTCCCTCTGCTCCTCCCCTCGTGCATACCTCCTCCCCTGCTCCAGGCCAACACAACAGTGGGCGCATTAAGAGCACTGGAGGTATGTTCCTTGCTCTTTGCCTCTGCTTTCCCCCCTCATTGCGCCGCCCACGCACAAGGGTGGCAGAAGAATTTCCTGTCTCTCCTCACTCTCGCTTCTCTTCGCATCTCTCCCCTCGTCCCCTCCCCCACCCCCGGTTCCTACCCCCCACTCCCGGGTCCTCTGCCCTATATCCCCCCCCTCGTCCCCTCTCTCGTCCTAATCTCCCCAACCGCCTCATACGCCCCACTTCCTCTATCCATCCTCCTCCCATCCCCCACCACAACCCCCATCTCCCGCCTGGCGCTGCTGCAAGGAGTGCCCCTCACCATTCACGACCGCCCTTGCTTCTCCCACCTCCCCCATTTCCCACCCGTCCCCCTCCCGTTCACCCCATGCCAGACGTTGAGTCAGCTGGTGCGCAGGGACCCTGCTTCCCGCCTGGCTCTGTTGCAAGGAGTGCCCCTCACCATCCACGACCGCCCCCGCTTTCCCCACCGAGGGGTGCTGCTGGGTGAGGGAGCGGTGGTGTTGGGTGGGAGAGCAATGGTTCTGGGTGGGCACTGGGCAGTAAGGGTGTGTGGGTGTGTACGTACTAGTTGAACATCCTTGCACTCAAGGCAAGTCAAGCTAGACTTCATGCCTCCCTCACTCACCCCCCTCACTCACTCCTCTCACTCCCCTTAATTCCACCTTTCTCCATTCCCTGTGCCTTGCTGCAGACACGGCTAGGTGATTCTTAAGTCGCCTCAAAAGTCAACTCTCACTCACCCCCCTCTATTCCACTCCCCCTTGTTCTCTCTGCCTTGCTGCAGACACGGCAAGGCACTTCCACCCCGTCCCCTTTATAGAGAGGCTCTTGGACTCCATGTCGTATGCCAAGCTCAACGTGCTGTAAGTCTATACACTCGCCCATTTACACACAATACCCTGTGAATGCACCCATAAACATGCATACAGATGCACGAACATGCACACACAAATGCATGCATTCGGCTCACCTTGCAAAAACTCTCCCACTCTCGTCCATTCCCCCTCCGACCTCCTACCCTCTCCGATCAGCCATTGGCACCGTGCGCGCCTTGGTCCTCATGCGCGCCTTGGTCCACGCGCGCGCCTTGGTCCACGCGCGCGCCTTGGTCCACGCGCGCGCCTTGGTCCACGCGCGCGCCTTGGTCCACGCGCGCGCCTTGGTCCACGCGCGCGCCTTGGTCCACGCGCGCGCCTTGGTCCACGCGCGCGCCTTGGTCCACGCGCGCGCCTTGGTCCACGCGCGCGCCTTGGTCCATGCGCGCGCCTTGGTCCACGCGCGCGCCTTGGTCCACGGCGCGCGCCTTGGTCCACGCGCGCGCCTTGGTCCACGCGCGCGCCTTGGTCCACGCGCGCGCCTTGGTCCACGCGCGCGCCTTGGTCCACGCGCGCGCCTTGGTACACGCGCGCGCCTTGGTCCACGCGCGCGCATTGGTCCACGCGCGCGCCTTGGTCCACGCGCGCGCCTTGGTCCACGCGCGCGCCTTGGTCCACGCGCGCGCCTTGGTCCACGCGCGCGCCTTGGTCCACGCGCGCGCCTTGGTCCACCGCGCGCGCCTTGGTCCACGCGCGCGCCTTGGTCCACGCGCGCGCCTAGGTCCACGCGCGCGCCTTGGTCCACGCGCGCGCCTTGGTCCACGCGCGCGCCTTGGTCCACGCGCGCGCCTTGGTCCACGCGCGCGCCTTGGTCCACGCGCGCGCCTTGGTCCACGCGCGCGCCTTGGTCCACGCGCGCGCCTTGGTCCACGCGCGCGCCTTGGTCCACGCGCGCGCCTTGGTCCACGCGCGCGCCTTGGTCCACGCGCGCGCCTTGGTACACGCGCGCGCCTTGGTCCACGCGCGCGCATTGGTCCACGCGCGCGCCTTGGTCCACGCGCGCGCCTTGATCCACGCTCGCGCCTTGATCCACGCGCGCGCCTTTGTCCACGCGCGCGCCTTGGTCCACGCGCGCGCCTTGGTCCACGCGCGCGCCTTGGTCCACGCGCGCGCCTTGGTCCACGCGCGTGCCTTGGTCCACGCGCGCGCCTTGGTCCACATACGCTCCTTGGTCCACATGCGCGCCTTGGTCCACATGCGCGCCTTGGTCCACGCGCGCGCCTTGGTCCCATCGCGCGCCTTGGTCCACGCGTGCGCCTTGGTCCACGCGCGCGCCTTGGTCCACGCGCGCGCCTTGGTCCACGCGCGCGCCTTGGTCCACGCGCGCGCCTTGGTCCACGCGCGCGCCTTGGTCCACGCGCGCGCCTTGGTCCACGCGCGCGCCTTGGTCCACGCGCGCGCCTTGGTCCACGCGCGCGCCTTGGTCCACGCGCGCGCCTTGGTCCACGCGCGCGCCTTGGTCCACGCGCGCGCCTTGGTACACGCGCGCGCCTTGGTCCACGCGCGCGCATTGGTCCACGCGCGCGCCTTGGTCCACGCGCGCGCCTTGATCCACCGCGCGCGCCTTGATCCACGCGCGCGCCTTTGTCCACGCGCGCGCCTTGGTCCACGCGCGCGCCTTGGTCCACGCGCGCGCCTTGGTCCACGCGCGCGCCTTGGTCCACGCGCGCGCCTTGGTCCACATACGCGCCTTGGTCCACATGCGCGCCTTGGTCCACGCGCGCGCCTTGGTCCCATCGCGCGCCTTGGTCCACGCGTGCGCCTTGGTCCACGCGCACGCCTTGGTCCACGCGCGCGCCTTGGTCCACGCGCGCGCCTTGGTCCACGCGCGCGCCTTGGTCCACGCGCGCGCCTTGGTCCACGCGCGCGCCTTGGTCCACGCGCGCGCCTTGGTCCACGCGCGCGCCTTGGTCCACATACGCTCCTTGGTCCACATGCGCGCCTTGGTCCACGCGCACGCCTTGGTCCACGCGCACGCCTTGGTCCACGCGCGCGCCTTGGTCCACGCGCGCGCCTTGGTCCACGCGCGCGCCTTGGTCCACGCGCGCGCCTTGGTCCACGCGCGCGCCTTGGTCCACGCGCGCGCCTTGGTCCACGCGCGCGCCTTGGTCCACGCGCGCGCCTTGGTCCACGCGCGCGCCTTGGTCCACGCGCGCGCCTTGGTCCACATACGCTCCTTGGTCCACATGCGCGCCTTGGTCCACATGCGCGCCTTGGTCCACGCGCGCGCCTTGGTCCCATCGCGCGCCTTGGTCCACGCGTGCGCCTTGGTCCACGCGCGCGCCTTGGTCCACGCGCGCGCCTTGGTCCACGCGCGCGCCTTGGTCCACGCGCGCGCCTTGGTCCACGCGCGCGCCTTGGTCCACGCGCGCGCCTTGGTCCACGCGCGCGCCTTGGTCCACATACGCTCCTTGGTCCACATGCGCGCCTTGGTCCACATGCGCGCCTTGGTCCACGCGCGCGCCTTGGTCCCATCGCGCGCCTTGGTCCACGCGTGCGCCTTGGTCCACGCGCGCGCCTTGGTCCACGCGCGCGCCTTGGTCCACGCGCGCGCCTTGGTCCATGCGCGCGCCTTGGTCCACGCGCGCGCCTTGGTCCACGCGCGCGCCTTGGTCCACGCGCGCGCCTTGGTCCACATACGCTCCTTGGTCCACATGCGCGCCTTGGTCCACATGCGCGCCTTGGTCCACGCGCGCGCCTTGGTCCCATCGCGCGCCTTGGTCCACGCTTGCGCCTTGGTCCACGCGCGCGCCTTGGTCCACGCGCGCGCCTTGGTCCACGCGCGCGCCTTGGTCCACGCGCGCGCCTTGGTCCACGCGCGCGCCTTGGTCCACGCGCGCGCCTTGGTCCACGCGCGCGCCTTGGTCCACGCGCGCGCCTTGGTCCACGCGCGCGCCTTGGTCCACGCGCGCGCCTTGGTCCACATACGCTCCTTGGTCCACATGCGCGCCTTGGTCCACATGCGCGCCTTGGTCCACGCGCGTGCCTTGGTCCCATCGCGCGCCTTGGTCCACGCGTGCGCCTTGGTCCACGCGCGCGCCTTGGTCCACGCGCGCGCCTTGGTCCACGCGCGCGCCTTGGTCCACGCGCGCGCCTTGGTCCACGCGCGCGCCTTGGTCCACGCGCGCGCCTTGGTCCACATACGCGCCTTGGTCCACATGCGCGCCTTGGTCCACGCGCGCGCCCTGGTCCACGCGCGCGCCTTGGTCCCATCGCGCGCCTTGGTCCACGCGCGCGCCTTGGTCCACGCGCGCGCCTTGGTCCACGCGTGCGCCTTGGTCCACGCGCGCGCCTTGGTCCACGCGCGCGCCTTGGTCCACGCGCGCGCCTTGGTCCACGCGCGCGCCTTGGTCCACGCGCGCGCCTTGGTCCACGCGCGCGCCTTGGTCCACGCGCGCGCCTTGGTCCACGCGCGCGCCTTGGTCCACGCGCGCGCCTTGGTCCACGCGCGCGCCTTGGTCCACGCGCGCGCCTTGGTCCACGCGCGCGCCTTGGTACACGCGCGCGCCTTGGTCCACGCGCGCGCATTGGTCCACGCGCGCGCCTTGGTCCACGCGCGCGCCTTGATCCACGCGCGCGCCTTGATCCACGCGCGCGCCTTTGTCCACGCGCGCGCCTTGGTCCACGCGCGCGCCTTGGTCCACGCGCGCGCCTTGGTCCACGCGCGCGCCTTGGTCCACGCGCGCGCCTTGGTCCACATACGCGCCTTGGTCCACATGCGCGCCTTGGTCCACGCGCGCGCCTTGGTCCCATCGCGCGCCTTGGTCCACGCGTGCGCCTTGGTCCACGCGCACGCCTTGGTCCACGCGCGCGCCTTGGTCCACGCGCGCGCCTTGGTCCACGCGCGCGCCTTGGTCCACGCGCGCGCCTTGGTCCACGCGCGCGCCTTGGTCCACGCGCGCGCCTTGGTCCACGCGCGCGCCTTGGTCCACATACGCTCCTTGGTCCACATGCGCGCCTTGGTCCACGCGCACGCCTTGGTCCACGCGCACGCCTTGGTCCACGCGCGCGCCTTGGTCCACGCGCGCGCCTTGGTCCACGCGCGCGCCTTGGTCCACGCGCGCGCCTTGGTCCACGCGCGCGCCTTGGTCCACGCGCGCGCCTTGGTCCACGCGCGCGCCTTGGTCCACGCGCGCGCCTTGGTCCACGCGCGCGCCTTGGTCCACGCGCGCGCCTTGGTCCACATACGCTCCTTGGTCCACATGCGCGCCTTGGTCCACATGCGCGCCTTGGTCCACGCGCGCGCCTTGGTCCCATCGCGCGCCTTGGTCCACGCGTGCGCCTTGGTCCACGCGCGCGCCTTGGTCCACGCGCGCGCCTTGGTCCACGCGCGCGCCTTGGTCCACATACGCTCCTTGGTCCACATGCGCGCCTTGGTCCACGCGCACGCCTTGGTCCACGCGCACGCCTTGGTCCACGCGCGCGCCTTGGTCCACGCGCGCGCCTTGGTCCACGCGCGCGCCTTGGTCCACGCGCGCGCCTTGGTCCACGCGCGCGCCTTGGTCCACGCGCGCGCCTTGGTCCACGCGCGCGCCTTGGTCCACGCGCGCGCCTTGGTCCACGCGCGCGCCTTGGTCCACATACGCTCCTTGGTCCACATGCGCGCCTTGGTCCACATGCGCGCCTTGGTCCACGCGCGCGCCTTGGTCCCATCGCGCGCCTTGGTCCACGCGTGCGCCTTGGTCCACGCGCGCGCCTTGGTCCACGCGCGCGCCTTGGTCCACGCGCGCGCCTTGGTCCATGCGCGCGCCTTGGTCCACGCGCGCGCCTTGGTCCACGCGCGCGCCTTGGTCCACGCGCGCGCCTTGGTCCACATACGCTCCTTGGTCCACATGCGCGCCTTGGTCCACATGCGCGCCTTGGTCCACGCGCGCGCCTTGGTCCCATCGCGCGCCTTGGTCCACGCGTGCGCCTTGGTCCACGCGCGCCTTGGTCCACGCGCGCGCCTTGGTCCACGCGCGCGGCCTTGGTCCACGCGCGCGCCTTGG